CACAACTTTTTGTCAATGCCGTCAAAATGCCTAGGCTCTCTAAGGACCAAGGAATACCTTTTATAGAATGTTCTGTGATGCTCTACAAGTCTAGGAGCACTTGGTAGAATTTAAGGAGAAGTATAGATTGGGTCAAAGCAAGGTTATTATATATATGGAACCACAGAGTTTTGAAAATCATCTTAAAAACATCATCTAGGTCAGTGGTATTCAGTGTTTTGTTCGTGACACATGGACATTCCTTGGAGATATTCTGTGACTACTTCAGTAGACAATAAGAATGCCACCAAGGTGCTAGTGTCTCCATCACCTCCTCTGAAGCCATCACCCTTTATCTATCATATGTCCAACTAGTTTCTTTGTTAAAAAAGAAATAAAAAAAGGAAAGAAGGAAAAGGAAAAGAAAGAAAAGAAAGAAATCTCCTTGTGAAATTTAAAACAGTTTTGAAAAAATAATAATCTTATCCAACATCTCATTCCAATGGGAATAGATTGGAGGCCCAGGGACAAAAAGAATCGAGATGAATTGGTAGAAGGGTTACTTCTGGAATCCAGCCTTGCAGTCAAAGCCTGATCCATGCATTCTGTGTTCTAGTCTTAAGTTCCTGTGTGTGTCAATCATGTGGTTGGATAGAGCTTCAGATGAGCTATTTACACCATGCTTCATGATTATCAACTTTCATAAGGCAAACAATTGCCTTAATGTGCACTAATAAACAATATAACAAAGTTTAATAGGAGCTCAGAGTAGTGTTACAATAGCAAACAGGAGAATTGTTCAATTTTGAGTCATGGAACCTTAGTTTGACCTAGAAAGAACCTTGACAACCACATAATCTAATGCCATGAACCTGAGGATTGGCCATGAGGGGTCATGACCCTGTGTGTTTGAGCTCTCATTCTCAACTGTTGTGTAACTGGACCGACAAGATACTGAGCCCATGTGTATTGAAGCCAGTTCCAGTGACCTTAGTATGAGTGATGTGAATGGTCAGTGATGAAGGGCGGTGGCTTTTGAACAGGGAAGCCAAAGGCAATGCAGTGTATGCCCTTGGAGAGGATGAGGAAGGAGTCCTGAAAAGAGAAATGAGATACTGTTGCACAAGCAAACTAGGGCCAGATGGTAGCAAAGTGGGTGACCATTGTAGATTCTAGAACTGGGCAGGAATGTGGTCAAAGATGTATTTAAAAAATTAATTCCGGCCAGGCGGTGGTGGCACACACCTTTAATCCCAGCACTCGGGAGGCACAGCCAGGCGGATCTCTGTGAGTTCTAGGCCAGCCTGGGCTACCAAGTGAGTCCAAGGAAAGGCGCAAAGCTACACAGAGAAACCCTGTCTCGAAAAACCAAAAAATAAAAAATAAAATTAATCCCGTATGCTTTACATAGGTTGGGTTGAAGGTACAGCAACCAGGAGTGCTAGCATGTTCACAGTAGTAACTAAAAACAAAAACAAAGTTACATTTGAAAGGAGTAATTCCCGAAGAGGAGGAGAGGCATATTTTCAGCTTCCCAGGATTTGAGGTTCACTGTTGAGAGGAGTGTCATGAAAGTGAGACAAGCAGACTTGAGAGAGATAAGTGAGTTGAGAGGAGAAGATAGCTAACTCAACCTTCCTTGTGACTCTCGACCCTGGGATGACCTGAGGAAAGGGACTCTACCATGTGCCTTTGACAGATAGAAGGGGAAAAGGTGAAGAAATCAACTGATGTCAGATTCCAAGGAGGTAGTGAGAAATAGAAAAATAATTCTTAAGATGCCTTTGGTTTGGGCTCCATGAAAGTTGATGTTGTCCTTGGAGACAACAAGCTTCATACAGACAACGTAGAGGAGAACGAGGAGAACGTTGAGGGATCTCAGCACTATCTGTTGGTTGTTCTGGCACTTGTTCCAGGACAGGAGAGTTAGAGAAGTCTGGGTCAGCCAAAGTCTACAGCCAGGAATACAGATTAGAGAAAGAAAAGGGGACACAGGCCCTAACTGAGTGAATGGCTGCTTGGGGTTAACAAGGAAGGGAAAACTTTGGGAATCCAGTGTGTGGCACATTGGGAAGAATATCAGGCCCCCAGGCTTCCTGTGTGGCCATGAACTAGCACGAGCGAGTAACTTCTTACTCTTCTAACACAGTCTAGCCAAAACCTAGGCAGAGAGACCCTATATGGGAGTCTGCAGGAAACTTTGGAAGTCTGGGCTGTGCTAAGATGTTGAGTTCTCGAGCCCCAAGGATGCAGTTGACTAGACCAACACTGGACTTCTGTTGCCTGTTTGAGCTGACGCTGACCAAGAGTTGAAGATGCCAGCCTGGATATGCAGCTTTACACAGACCTACCTACTTCATTGGTCCCTCTTGGACCTCAGTCTAGCTTCCCGGCTGCTCAGACTTCCTCTGCCACAGCCAGAGGATCCTCTGTGGTCTGGCTCAGAGGGAGCATGTCATCAAACAGGCTTGCCTTGAGGCTGTGCTGCTATTAGTCTACCTGGGCTGGAGGAATTCACTGCTCTTTACTGCTCCAAGTGTGGTCTGGGGACCAGCATCATTATCAAGACCTGGCTGAATGTTTAGAAAGCAGTCTCAGGCTTCATGCCAGACCTGGGGAACAAGACTCACTATTTTAGCAAGAATGCAGGATATATAAATACGCATTAGAGAGTGAGCACTGGGGAAATGACTTAATGGGTGAAGCACTTGCCATGCAAATGTGAGGATCTGAGTTCGGACAAAGCTGGACACAGTAGAACACATCTATAATCACAAGTGGTCCTATGGTGAAATGGGAAGTGAATCCAAAGATGCTCTAGATGCTATGGGCTAGCTAGCCTGGCATGCACAGCAGTAAATAAGAGACCCTGTCTTAAATGGCGTGAAAAGCAAGAACCAATACCCAAGGTAGTCTCATGACCTTCACATGCACAGCATGGCACATGTGTGCCTGTACTCTCACACACAAACACATTACACACATGCACATGTATGAAAGCCACAGAGTGAGGACGACTGACCTGACATATCAGTTCCTAAGCCTGGCTCATTACTTGAATCACTTCAAGCACTAGAGACTAAGGACAGGGGAAAAAAATACTTACTGAGTGATTCAGATATGCAGGCATGTTTTGGCGTCTATGACTTTAACTAAACACTTCATATTTTTAAAGAATAATGCTTACATTACAAAAGGAATCCAATCTACTGCAGGAAAAATGTTAAGAATATTAGCAATCTAGTCTGGGAGGAAAGGACTGGACCTCCCTGGACTGAATCTACCAAGTTGATCACAGTCCTCGGGGGAGGACTTGTCCTGGAGGAGGTGGGAATGGAGGGTGGGCTGGGGGTAAGGGGAGGGTGTGGGAGGGGGGAGAATAGGGGAACCCATGGCTGATATGTAGAACTGAATGATATTGTAAAATAAAATATATATAAAAAAAAGAAAAGAAAAAAAAAAAGAATATTAGCAATCATTGACCATCCTGTCAGTCACGAATGAGCGCTGTGAGAGCACCAGCAGTCTTTGTTCCCATGTGTGTGTCTCTGTACAGCTATGAATTTAGTTGTAATTATAATGAGCACAGTATTTATAATGTACACTTTTCACTTCATATATTTGGAAGTTTTGTGCCATGAATGTCATCATTAACGAGCATATACTTCTTATTTGCTGAATGTGTCGTTCGTTCCCTTTCAGCCAATTGCCTATTAGTGGACATTGAGGGTATTTCCAACTTCCCAACCTTGCAAAAATATTCAGTTGAACTCTTTTATAACTCAGCGTTTGGGCGATCCCTTACCTCTCCCTGGGACATGGGCAACAACACATGCAATCACAGAACAGACAGAGTGCTTGGTGCCTGACTCGCGACACCAGCATGTGTGCAGAACCGCCACTGTTGTTATCAGTGCCCTGTTATCCTTCACTCTCAACAGGTCTGAAACTTTTGCCCAGTTACTTCCCATGGTGACAGAATCATATAAGCAGTAATAAAAGCCACCTGGGCTACAGCCCCATTTCTTATCATACCAGACCATGGATCTCAGTGACACCGAGGTGTCTGAATTCCTGCAATCTTCCTTACCTGGCTCCCTCAGTATCACTTCTTCCACCTCCAAGTCTCGTTTCTTCCCACATTCTTCTTTTCTATCTCGTTTTCTACTTTCTTACATAATTATTTCTTTTTTTTTATCCCCCTTCCTGCTTAGCATGAATCAGATCCACTCAGTAAGCCTCAGCCCGGTCATCCCTGCACTTACTCTTGGGAGCTGTTCTGATGGATCTGTCCTGAGTTTCTTGTGTGCTATTCTGGATTGGACTTTCTAGGTGATCATTTTAGCAGGGAACTCTGGGATAGGACACTCCTCCAGGAAAGACCACAGTCCTGGGAATCTTCAGTGGCTTGGAGTTTATATAGGTCACTCTCTTCACATCACAGTGCTCATTTTCAAAAGCACAAGTCTCGGTTTATCAATCCTGTTCTGATTTTCACCTGGAAAAAAGAGAGGCATTTGGACAGACTCTTCACATGTGTCAGCAGCTCCAGTTCCTGGGAATGATGCTTCCTAACCTTCAAACCCTGCCCATTCTCCCTGGCTAAGTTGTTCTTCCCTGCTGGGTGACTTAGACAGAGCAGGGTGACTGTCCAGCCAGGCTGGGAAATGGGACTGGATCTGCCCTGAGGTTATCCCCACTCTGTGGAGCACCCACTTCTGAGCCTGGGAAGTGAGATGGTAGGCTATTGAGGTGAATCTGCTCTCTAGATTCTAAGAGCTGGCATCAGCAGATGGATGAGTCCTAGGCTTGCACCTCTGCCAGCAAAATCTGATCTAATGGCCAGGAATAAGGAAAAGGCAGAGCTGCCTAGAGCTGGGAGGGTGGGGAGACCATGGTGGATTCCGTAATGCCTAGGAGTGGGGACAGCTTGTGGCTGGTAACTCTGAGCCCCAGGATGGCTGCCCCCAAATACACACCTCTGCTTTTCTGACAGCTTTTTTTCTTCTTTTCCGCAGTAAAGACCAGACACTCTAACTGCAGGAATGTGCTCCCTTCCCATGGCAAGATACTACATGTAAGTAATTTTTCTCAGTCAAGGGGTCCAGAGAATCACACAAGAAGGGAAAAGGATGAGTCAAAGGAATGAAGCTCCCTCTGGCCACAAAAACTCAAGCATTGAATAATCACTCTTCATCTTTGTCAATAACAACAGCCCTCTTTCCTGGTGGCAGATTAAGAAATTTGTAAGGAGAGTATTGCTAAGTCCATTTTACAGATCTGGAAATTGAGGCTCCAAGAAGTTGTATAATTTTCCTCCATGCCATACAACTACCCAGAAGCAGAGGGTGGGCTCAGACTCCATGTTCTCTGAACTGATTTATCTAGCTTTTAGAAAGCTCAAACAATCTTGAGTCCCAATAGCAGCATCTTCATGGTGACCTTAACTGATAACTGTATCTTAAAAAAAAAAAAAAGTTTCACTATAGCCCTGGCTAGCCTGGAACCTGCTATGTATATTCGCGTGACCTCAAACTCACAGAGCTCTGCTCACCTCTGCCTCCCAAGTGCTGGGATTAAAGCACCACACTGCTTCCTTGACACACTTAGTGATGTCTAAATAGAATGCTCCAGCAGGTGAACTATTAAGTCCCACCCAGTTCCCCAAGTCGGCGAAGAATGCCAGATGGCAAGGTCTTCACTGACCTTTGTTCTTAATGAACAAGTGAACCTGCTTTAAAAACAATAGTGGATCTGTTCTTAAACAGCCATTACCAGCTGTGGCAGAGTCAGAAGGGATCCTGGAGGTGGTGGCATTGTTCCAGATGTTCTGCTTTCAAAGGTATTGGGAGCTCCCTGGGCTCTGAGAGCAATTGATGGGCATCTCTGGAACCAGCTGGGCAACTAGGCTAATAACAGACATGGTTTTGATGTTTCACGTGCATGACAGTTTCTCCCCAGCTTCCCTGATGCATACTTACCCTCCCAGGCAGGTCATTAGCTACACAGCCATCCCCAATGACTAATCAGGCCCTGATCTAGTTCTGCTTCAGCCTCCTGTATTTGGTCCACCCAGAGTTTACCTCACCATGGCCAGAATGGGGCCAGAATCTAGTGACATAGACTTTATTTTCAGATTTCTCTCTCTTTTTTTAAGTTTACAAAGCAAATCATACTTATTACATCCTCAATTCTTTCATTAATGAGTGGTTCTGGAAAGAAAGAAAGAAAGAAAGAAAGAAAGAAAGAAAGAAAGAAAGAAAGAAAGAAAGAAAGAAAGAAAGAAGGAAGGAAGGAAGGAAGGAAGGAAGGAAGGAAGGAAGGAAGGATGGAAGGAAGGAAGGAAGGAAGGAAGGAGGCCCAGAAAATCTGGGATAGGACGCACTGCATCCCCGGGATACCTGAGTCTCAAAACAACTACTCAGACAGCCATAAAAACATCCTCTATCTCTGTTAGAGAAGGCACTGGCTACTGTCACTTACGGGAGCCTCTGACAATCACGAGCCTAGGAAACCTGTTCTTGCTTTGGGACAGAACTGTTGCTTCCCTTAATGGAGCAGTGTCCCTCTCCTCCCTGGAAATGGTGAGTTCACCAAAGGCTCAGTGTGGTGGTCCAGAGCACAGGGATTGAAAGACACAATGGTCCCTGAAGGCAGCAGGCCATTAACCTTGCCCTCCTATTTCAGAATCAAAGATGCACATCAAAAGGTTTTGTACACACGGAATGGCCAGCTCCTGGTGGGAGACCCTGATTCAGACAACTGTAGCCCAGGTGAGCCTCCGGGGGTCTCTCTTCTGGGACTTGCCCAATCTCTGCCTGTTACAGGCCCTTGACTCATTTCTTCTCTCATGTCTCTAGAGACATGAGAATGCTGTCCCCATGATAACGAGAAGAGGTGAGGGGCAGCTTCAGCCTGTCCTGGTGAGTTCTGCTCACCCTACTGTCTCCATGCAGAAACAGGCCGGGTGTGCCCAGGCCCAGCTGCTCCTTGCTGAGTCATATCTTGCTAAGAGCCTTCCATCTGGGGTCCCCTCACTGCCTGAATTTCACTCTCTCTTACCTCCCAGAGAAGATCTGTATCCTTCCTAACCGAGGCCTGGACCGCTCCAAGGTGCCCATCTTCCTGGGGATCCAGGGAGGAAGTTGCTGCCTGGCATGTGTTGAGACAAGAGAGGGGCCATCCCTGAGGCTGGAGGTGAGACCCCTTCTCCTTCTGGAGGACACACAACGTCAGTGTGCGGGAGCCAAGATGCCATTGCACATCCCCTCTCTTGTCCTCCATCTCTCTCTTTGCCTCCAGCAAGGGGATCCTCGCCTTTCGGTATCTACAGAAGGAACATCCTTGACTAAAGCTCCTTTCTATTGAGTTCTTTGGCCAAGCTCCTGGGCCGTTAGGACCTGACACCCCAAATAGAACACCCATCTCATCTCATAGCTGGCTTTCCTCTCCCCACAGGATGTGAGCATCGAGGACCTATACAAGGGCGGTGAACAAACCACCCGTTTCACCTTCTTCCAGAGAAGCTTGGGCTCTGCCTTCAGGCTCGAGGCTGCTGCTTGCCCTGGCTGGTTCCTCAGCGGCCCGGTTGAGCCCCATCAGCCAGTGCAGCTTTCCAAAGACAGCGAACCCTCTACCCGTACTGAGTTCTACTTTGAACAGAGTCGGTAAGGAGGCATGAGACCGAAGTCCAACCTAGCGCCCCCAAACTGAGCCCATCTTGCTCAGAGTCTGTGGGAGGCAGAATGATGGTCCACCAATGATGTCTGAAAGCCTTAATCCCCAGAATCTGCAACTATGTTACATTAAATGGCAAAAGCGCCGTTTCCTTCATGGTCCATTTGACCCAATGAAATCGTATGAGGCCTCATGAGAAAGAAGGAGTCCGAAAGAGAATGGGGTAAACGTCGCTACTAAATTTGAGGATAGAGCTAGGAACCACGAGATGATGAGTGCACGTGATTTCTAGAAACTGGAAAAGGCAAGCGCTCTCCTGACACCGATTTCAGAGTTTTCTGGCCTCCAGAATTGTACAATAATAGACTTCCATTGTTTCAAGCCGCTGAATCTGTGGTAGTTTATTGAAGCAGCCGTCGTAAGACCTGTGTGTCATATGCAATTCAAAGGGCATGGGTACCCTGGTGATTTCTTGGAAAGACACCCACAGATTTTCTAGGATGTTGGGTCCAGGGTCCAGTGGAGTCCCTTTGTCAAGGGGATGTCACAACCCAGAATATCAGGCTGGACTCTTCTCAGAGTTTAGAGTTGCACCCTTTGCCCAAGAGCCCCAGCAATTTTTCATTTCTTAGAAAATCTGTGTCCCTGCTCTAACATGGCACTATCTAGCCTGCACTGTCCTGGTTCAGCGAGGGGTGAGCTGCTGGCACTCTGGTGTCACCAGTGTCTAGAGCAGTGGTGGAGCACAAAAGGTTCCGCACACAAAATCTTGACTGGGAAGGTGACCATGAGGCTCTCGTTAGATACTCAGGATATGATCCAAAAAGAGATTCAGTGCAAGGTGAACTGATGAGGAGAGCTACCCGGGAAGAGCAGGGCTGCACAGAGGGACATCTAACCCTGGACTCAGCGGAAAACAAGTTTTCCTGTCAGAGAACATGGGGTCACGCATTCCAGGTAGAATCAACAGTTCAGGAAGGTGTGATGGAGGGGAGCCCCAGGCATGTCTGGGGTATGATGTGTCATCCATTTGGCTGGAACCCAAGGCTTGTGGTTAAGGAGTTGCTGAAAATTAAAACAGGAAGATGGGTGGAGTCCAATTGTGAATGACTTGCAAAGGACTTTGGGCCGTATCTGGGAGGGCCAGAGGAATCATCTGGTATTCCAGGCAGGGCTCCTGTGATCATCCCTGAACTGACCTAGATGCTACCAGAGCCTCCATTCAGCCCCACATCCTCACCCCACAATCAGGTACCTCCAGAGGTCAGTTTCTGTGCTCTGGTCCCATGGGTAGCCTGACCCATCTTCTCACAGTGGTGCCTGCCTCCTTCTATTGTGAGCTAGAAGATAAAACCATAAGCCTAGGCATGTTAGAGTTTATCTGAGTGATCCCTGAGTCAGGCAGCACTAAATGACAAGTTGCTTAGGGATTTACCAAGGGGGGCTCATTGGAGGATGGGGGAATAGTTTTAGAAGGCATTCAGGAAACAAGGGGAAGAAAAATTTGATTGCTTCAAGTGGAAAGTCCCAGCTTAAATGTTAGTCAGTAGTTTCTAATTGTTTGAGCTTCTAATTAGAGGTTAGTTGGCAGTTTCTGGTTAGTTAATCTAAGTTTCATTTTCTTAGACTATGACCATTCTCTGAGCTGCACATTGGTATGGTAAAGTAGGAACTCAAGACTTAGAATAGGCTCCCAGTTAATTATTTTAACAATGATCACTCATTCTTGTTGGCCTCTGCGATCTGTGCCCACGGGCCACCCAGGCACATCAGGCCTCCTGGCACCAGCAGAATCCCATTCTCTGCACAGACAAAAGATATTTTCAGGATCTGGAATTTGCTAAGTTTACATTGGTGCTGGAGAGAAGACCCGAAGGCCTCGAAGGCATGGCCTCTGCCCTTCAAGGACACAGTGTACAGGAAGGAGAGCTGACATTATAAAGCAGATCACCTTGTTTCAGACTGGGCAGGACTGAGGCTGAGAGCTTAGGTTAGTGGGAGATCACTTGCCTGACATGTCCAACGCTTGGGGAAAAAACACACTCTGGGGATGTTGAAGTGGCTTCGGTGGAAAAGGCCTTCATTTGCTCATGAGCTTGATGATCTGAGTTTGATTTCTGGAGCTCATATGGTGGAAGGAGAGAATGCAATTTCCAGAAATTGTCTTCTGACCTCCACATGCGGACCATGGTGCATCCCTACTACCACCCCAATATACCAAGATAAATAAATAAATTAGAAAAATCAAGAAAAACTCATGTCCTGCAGAGCTCTGGTAGAATTAGTGTGGGGGGGGGGAGTGGGTTGGGGGTGTCAAAAATAAAAAATGGAGGGGGGATTTAGCTCAGTGGTAGAGTGCTTGCCTAGCAAGTGCAAGGCCCTGGGTTCGGTCCTCAGCCCTGAAATAAATAAATAAATAAATAAATAAATAAATAAATAAATAAATAAATAAATAAATAAATAAATAAATAAATATAAAATTGGAAGAAGCTACTTCTGACAGGTAAAATTCAGAAACTGCAGGGACGCTTTTCTGCCATATCCCAAGTTTCATATTTAAATTCCTTCTCCTCCCAAGAAAAACCACACCATCATCTCAACCAGGCTGCAGAAGTTATAATTATGTAAATGTGTGGGAGAGACACACTCAAGATCTTATCCACTCTTCTACATCTTAGAATGGTGGGTGTGGGGACAGGAAGAGCAGCTGGTACACAGCGTGAAGACCTCTTAGGTGGCACTCAGGAACTTGGTGGGTTGGCAAGGAAATGTACGTGGCTGTGTGTGTATGGTGTGCATTGTGTGTGCGCACACACGAGTGCCCTGGATGCAGTCTGCGAATATCCGCCAAAGAATTTAACGTATGCAGCAGTTCATTTACAAGATTCATTCCAAGAGGTTCTAGATCAACTCTACCCTAGAGGGCAATGTGTTCAAGGTCTCCTAAATCATTCAAACCAAGATTCAAATTTTATATTGGCTGATATTTCTCTCTGGACCAGATTTTTATTTTAAGAAATCAACTTGAGCATCACATAAGCCCAGTGAACAACTACATGAAGCACACACAAAACATTCCTAGATACATGAAACATGTTAGGTCAAGCGAAGGCAATCCAGGCTTAGGAAAGAAAAAGTAAGTAAAGGAAAGTGAATAAAACTTTAATGAGCATCATGTTATCCTGGGTATCAGTCAGCAAAATTCAAAAAGCTGATGTATTGGCATTTGGATTATTTGACCACATTTTAAGTTGGATTTCACATTTGCATAACTAAATAGTTTACTGTGATGCTATGTGAACAAACAATCTACCTCCTAGAGAAATCCCAGTCTCATCTCTACTTACCAAGGTGCCGACTCCGGAGTAAGGTCGGATCCTTGAAGCCTAGTTCTAAGATGGGGAATGTGCAATTTGCCATTTGGACTGAAGGTGGCGACAGAGTTCAGCTTTGCTCTGGGAGGCTGGGAGTCCTGGTGAGCAATTTCACCAAATTTAATTTGAATGCTTCATAATGCCTGTCTTTCAGTCTGTGCCCCATCTCTGCCTCGCTTTCAAACAGGAAGTGTAGCTCTGTGTGTGTGTGTGTATGTGTGTGTCTGTGTGTGTGTGTGTGTGTGTGTGTATTTGTGTCTGTGTCTGTGATGTTAAAAACACAAATTCACTCTCAGTTCACTCTTTGTATGGTTTTGTTTTTGTTTTGTTTTGCTTGTTTGTTTGTTTTGCGCAGATGTCCTCAGACACACATACGCCTTCCTCCCACATTAGCTTGTCCACACAGAAGGTTGCAGACTCAAGTGTCTCCTAGCTATGTATTTTCCCAACTGATTTTAAAGAACCCTGCACTGAAGGGTCATGCCTGTATGGGGAAATGGGTTCTCTGGGGTCTTTCTTGCCTGCTCTTTTCTGATCCACCCTGCTGCAGCCACAGTGGCCGCTGCACTGTTCTCCAAAGACAAGTCCACCAGACACCATGCTGTTATAGATGTGTATCTGAGTCCAGAGGACACCTGCTAAGACCGCCAAGCTTTTATGTCATGGGATGAAGAGTTGGGCTGGGAACACACAAATAGTGAACAAAAAGGAAGCAGTTTGTCGAGGAAACACACTCCTGAGAACGGAAGTGGCCTGGACCAGGACTCAGAAGGCCCTGCCACGGCAGCATCCTAGTCCTTTGTGTGTCGTTTAACAGCACTCAATTTCCCCACACTCGGAATTCAAAGGACCTTTAAAAAAAAAAAATCAGTTTCGTCCCATATAGTCCATCTAGGAGAGATGTCCAGGCTTCTGCTGGCTTCTTGGACACATCAATCTTGATGTCTCTCTACATCCTGCTCTCATGACCCAATTCCACCCCGGAGAGCTGTAGCCCAGAAATATTTGGGGGGCACTTGAATGATGAGGCTCAATCTTCTATCTTTTTGTCTCTGCTGATGAGGGACATAGACTCCGCCTAAGAGCAGCTGTGTAACTCTCTCCATACTTTATATCCTGACTGGAGAGGAGGGCTTGAACCACAGCCAGCAGAAGTTGCATCATGAAGAACTAGTTTGAATCTATCATATCCTGGAAGACACAAATTTTACAAGATCAGTGGAACAAGGCCTACATAAGAGTAACATAGGTGTGCCAATCTATGTCTCCTGAAAGGACAAGATCCAAGGAAGCCACTGCCATGCTTGGTCCAGAAGAGCCATCTTTGGTTAGGTTATTCCTAGGGGCATGGTCCCTTTGACTATTGAAAAACACTTAATGATTGAGAATGTAGAAAAACCCAAACCTACAATTTTTAAAAAGGAATCTAATGGTAGAATAAATCAAAAGGAAGCTAGTGTGGGATTGTAACAGAGTGCCAACAGTATCAAAATATAAATACACAAATAAAGCTAAAACATTGTGAGTTTATAGCTACTTGCTTATGAAAAGATCCCATCTTTGTATTTAAGACGCTAAGATAGCCAGATGACATTGGTGCACGCCTTTAATCCCAGCACTCAGGAGGCAGAACCAGGCGGATTTCTGTGAGTTGGAGGCCAGCCTGGGCTACAGAGCGAATTCCAGGAAAGGCACCAAAGCTACACAGAGAAACCCTGTCTCAAAAAGAAGAAGAAGAAGAAGAAGAAGAAGAAGAAGAAGAAGAAGAAGAAGAAGAAGAAGAAGAAGAAGAAGAAGAAGAAGAAGAAGAAGCTAAGATATCCTTTTGTTTGAAGAGAATCTCGAAGTCTTTTAGCCTTTTGGCTGTCTGTGCAAGTGGCCTTGTCCTGAAGGTGTCCCTGAGGCTGTGGAGACACAGAAAGGTAGAGAATTCAGAGAG